ACATTGTTGTGTTAATTGTAACACTTGCAAGTTAATTTATAGTAACTGTATAATTTATTTCACTTCTCCTTTTAACATTTTGGCATGTGTAGGTTATATTTTAAGACATACACAGCGTGACGATTAACCTTTTAGGCACGACGCGCCACTATAGTGGCTTCCGTGGATATCATCTTTTACTACTGTGATCAAAAAGTAAGGTGAAATTGTCATTTAAAACTCCCGGACATTAGGAAGGCAGGCAATTGTTTTTTTCCTAGGTTGGTAGGACTGTCTATAACAATTGCCAAGCGTCTGTTTGTTAAAAGGTTTAATTATCTCCGAGTTACACGTGTTTTAGTAAACGACCAAAAGTGAATTTTTCGATTTTTACAATGGGTGATTTTGTTGAGCAAAGAACTTGCATCAAATTTTGTTTGCGGAACGAATATTCTTGTGCGGACACGTTGAAAATGTTGCGGAAGGCCTTTGNTAAATCTTAAGTGAGATACGTTCGCTTAAACACGTGTATTGACAAGTTCCATTACGGTATATCATAATTTAAGGAATTCCAATAAGGTAGAAATTCTACAAAAGCGTGTAGAAATTTGGTAAACGTTTTTGGTGAAGATACATGTCTTGCAATTCGCTACATTCTCCGGACTTAGCATCATCCGATTATCATCTGTTTCTGTATACAATTTTTTGGAGGAAAATAAATTAAAAATGAAGCTGATGTTAGCCAAGCACTGCTTGAGTTCTTCACCTCCAAAATGAGTCATTCTATAGATGGAAATTGTATTGTTCAGTAAATATTAATAAATACATTGATAATATATCTTTTTTAATACATAAACAGACAGAACTTTCTGGCAGACTTAATATTATTCATTCTGTGATTCCTGGTCTCTTTGACTTCAAAATATACAGTTAAAACTGAGCTAAGTTACTTGAATTTCTTTTAAACGATAGCGGGACTAGTCTATTAGACGCCAAAATGTTCTTTTTTAAATTTTGCTATTACTTGGAATGACAAAAAAAAAATAAAAAATTTCGTTTTTAACTTTTTTATCTGAACCTATACCGGATATTTAAAAAATGCCACCGGCATTCCAGTTTTAAAAAAGTTATTGCGTTGTAAAAGGTGCATGCTCAATTTTGTGAGTAACTACACGTTTGCATGCAGTGCGTAGATGCCGAGAAACATCGGTTTATGGCCGTATGACTGCGGTGGACGTGACAACTACGGTCATTGAGAATGTCGGCTACCAGTATCGGCTTGCTCCTCACAGCTCATATTTCCGGTTTAGAATCATAGTTCCGAAAGTCACATTTCGCTGATTGTGAGAAACGAAGAGTGTTATTGTTTACTAACAGGTGTATTGTTTACTGCCAACATTGTTGTGTTAATTGTAACACTTGCAAGTTAATTTATAGTAACTGTATAATTTATTTCACTTCTCCTTTTAACATTTTGGCATGTGTAGGTTATATTTTAAGACATACACAGCGTGACGATTAACCTTTTAGGCACGACGCGCCACTATAGTGGCTTCCGTGGATATCATCTTTTACTACTGTGATCAAAAAGTAAGGTGAAATTGTCATTTAAAACTCCCGGACATTAGGAAGGCAGGCAATTGTTTTTTTCCTAGGTTGGTAGGACTGTCTATAACAATTGCCAAGCGTCTGTTTGTTAAAAGGTTTAATTATCTCCGAGTTACACGTGTTTTAGTAAACGACCAAAAGTGAATTTTTCGATTTTTACAATGGGTGATTTTGTTGAGCAAAGAACTTGCATCAAATTTTGTTTGCGGAACGAATATTCTTGTGCGGACACGTT